GAGAGAGAGAGAAAAAGAGAGAGAGATGGATATAGGTAGATAGAGAGATATAGATAGAGATGAATAACATTTTTTGTGTGTGATAATATTGGTAATAGTATTTCTTTGTTACAAATTTTTAACTGTAAATATATTTATCGCTTGTTTGTAGCAGTTCAAAAGTCGCCAGCATGTGAGCGACGTTATGAAACGTCCTTGGGTATTCTTACTAAGCGATTTGTTTCACTTCTTCGAAACTCAGTCAGTGGAATCCTTGACCTTAATCAGGCTGCTGAATTACTTGATGTTCAAAAAAGGAGAATTTACGACATAACAAATGTTTTGGAGGGTATTGGTGTTATCGAAAAGAATTCTAAAAATAATATTAAATGGGTGTAAGTTTTTTTTATATAAGGTTCTCTTACATTTATTATAAATAATATTCCCCACTTTAGCAAAATTCTATATAAAAGAATTTGATTTGTAATAAACATAGTTCATTGTCATCTTTTAATATTTTGATCTCTAATGAATTATAATAGAATATAACCAGGAATATATTTTACAGGTTTTACATTGATATGTTGCTCAATTTAATTTTTAATAATCTAGTTTAATTTTTTTTATATATTTTTTTTTAAATAAAGTGGTGCAAAGCATTTGGAAAATCAAAATGATAATATTGCCGATGTAGAAAATCAAGAGGAAGCAATCCTCGCGACTAATTTAGTAGATTTGCATCAAGATATAGAGGATTTAAAGCTGTCTGAAGCAAAACTTGATGAACTCATTCAGCAATGTCAAAATGAAATGAAGCAATGCAGTGGTGCTAAACATTACAATAAGTATCTTTTCATTCATGTTTTAAACCAGCACATTTGATAATTTTGAACTATTTGCAAAAATAAAAAATTTATGCAATCAGTTAGAGCATTTTATTTTTATGCCTTTATGCTCTTTGACAGTTTTAAGACATTCATATGTTACTTACCAAGATATCCGTGGTATTAAAGATTTTAACAACAAAACTGTTATTGCTATTAAAGCTCCTCCAGAAACCAAGTTAGAAGTTCCTGATCCTAATGAGGTGGGTTTTTTTTTTTAGTTTATATACATGTATGTAAATATATATTAAGGGTTGAATTAAACGATCGTGAAACGCAAAATCTGGAAAAATATTTTGTTTTCAAAATTTTAGTTATTGCAAAACTGTGTTCTTTCTTTTCAAGGAGCAAATCAAATTTATTTTGTTAGTGAGAAAGTTATAAAGAATTAAAAAACAATAAACTAACAACTACTAAAGTAATAATACTCTACTCACTAACTGCATTATACAAGTAACAAAACTATAATAGTGTTATTTCTTTTATAAAACACTTATAACTTTTAAAGTTCATTCTTTATTCAAACAACATTAGTAATTCCAAACTTTGATTAAAGTAGAAAGGCATCTAGAAAGAATAAAGTAGATATTCAAATATTATTCAAAACTTCAGGAACTTTTACAAATATACTTATACAACTTCATAAAAACATACTTTATATAATGTTTAGTATAATCTAAAACATTACTAATAGTCTGTAAAAATGTGCATTAATTTTAAAATCAACCAATAAAATTGTTTTATTGGTGGATTTTAAAAATAATGCGTGTTTTTATGTACCATTAGTTACATTTTTTATAATGTTGAACTTTTTTTAAAAAACATTTTTATAAGTTGTTAAAATTCCTAAAGTTTTGAATATTAGTTGAATCCCTACTCTGTTTTTTGTAGAAGCTTTTATACTTCAATAAAATTTGGGATTTCTTATGTTGTTTGAACAAAGAATGAACTTTGAAAGTTATAAGTGCTTTATAAAAGTAATAACACATTATAGTTTTGTTACTTTTATTATGCAGTTAGTGACAAGAGTGTTATTACTTTAGTAGTTGTAAGTTAATTGTTTTTTAATTTTTTATATCTTTCTCACTAACAAAATAGAGTTGATTCGCTCCTTGAAATCAAAGAACACGGTTTTGCGTAAACTAGTGTTATTATTTTTGTAGTCATAAGTTTATTGTTTTATTTTTTTTTTTTTTTTTTTGCTAACAAATTTAAGTTGATTTATCCCTTAAAAATAAAGAACACAGTTTAGCATCAACTAAAATCTTAAAGATATTTTTTTAGATTTTGCATTTCTTGATTGCTTAATTCAACCCCTTTGTATATATTGTATATTATATATTGCCTGTTTACATTACTTCCCCTATTACTAGGTAGTCAATTTATCATTTTACTGCACTAAATAAATAAATCATATAACCAAAAATGAAAAACTAATTCGAATAATAACTACAGCTTTTTTTCTAAGCCTATTTCTATAAAAACGCTTACAAAAATTATAACTTTTTTAAAAGCATTTTTACTATTTCTAAAATGTAATAATAACTACATTTATTATAGAACTGATTAATATATATCATGTGCATATTATGTGTCAAGTTATCTAAACAAATAAAGCAGAAAATATGAAGGCCCTATAAAATGTTTAACAATCTAATTGAAAATCAGAAACAATTTCATGTTTTAGTTGGTTTGCAGAAATATCTACACATAATGTAAATTATTTCTATAGCAAATTTTATTGTCTCCGGTGCCACCCAAATGTGTTACAGGCTGTTAAAAGTGGCTTAAAATAGCCTCTAGTATATTTTAAGACATATAATTTAAAGCTGTTATTAAAAATCTATACTATAATTGATATAAAATGTAACATAGTATTATAAAACCTACAATATAAAACATAATTTTCAGTTTTTGATTCATAATATAAGTTTAATAAAAGCAATATCTTTGATTTATCTCGAAATATGTGCAGGAAAAAAAAGATGTTTACAATTGAAGAATGGGTAAAAGAAAATTATATATAAAATATGGTTATTTAATATTTTTATTATCATTAATGACTGTATATATGTGTACATAAATCAATTTTATGGCTTCTATTAATCATATTTCTCTTGCTTGAATTGTATTTTAAATTAAAACAAAGTGGAAATTTTGTTTTATAAACTCGAGTCAAAGATCTTTTTTTACCTTCTGTAACTGATTTATTAGGTGGAAAAGGTAGTATCTAACTGAGGGTGACCCCTTTTCCTACAATAATGACTGACAGGGGTCACTCCAGTTAGCTACCTACCTGTTTTGCTGAATAGAAGTTATCTTTTATATAAGAAATATATCTGCATACTAAACTACTACTGTTTAGTAGGGTACTGATAATATTTTTCTCTTGCACACTTGCTTCAAGTTTTAAAATTTCGTTTCATTCAATATACCTAATTTTGGTACTTTTTTTTTTTAGGATAATAGCAAAAATTTCCTCCTTTTTTTAATTTGTCTATAAAAATCAATGTAACCCATTGTCAATGCAAATAATCATATCAGTACAAAACATGTACTGATATAACTATTTTATCATGTAATTACTTTTTTTTTTTTTTCAAGTCGATTCAGATTTGGTTAAAAAGTTCAAATGGGCCCATTGATGTATACTTATGTCCAGAAAATAAAGAGAATGTACCACCTTCGAATGATAGGCTTGATGAATGTGCTTACTCGGATTCTACAAGCTCCGTTTCTGAATTTTCACCGTTCAATAATGAAAATCTTTGTTCTCCGGGTAATCTTAGTCAAAGTTCAGGATATTTTGATGAATGTCAGTTTTCAAGCTACGATGCCAATACAACACTTTCTTCGATGAATTGTGATGCTCTCCACATAAATAAACTTGATTCAGAGGACTTTATTGCATATAATGAAAGCTGTTACCAAAATGAACTCTCTATATCTCCCCTTATTTCCCTTGAGCCTAACTTCAAAGCTGAAGATTATCTTTTTTCTCTCGACTGTAACGAAGGTATCAGTGACCTTTTTGATGTAGACACGTTTTTATAAATTATTTTTATTAGCATTAAAGACTATTTATATTATATATATGTACATAAATCATTCTTACTACGTCTATAAATCATTCTTCTCTCTAAAATTTTGTTTTATATTTAAACCAAGTAGAAATTTTTTATCATAAAACTTGATTCAAATATTTTTTTTACCTTAAAAACTGTTACAAAAAATCTTTTAATTATGAATCTTCTTTTTGTTTTATTTACTCATCCTATAAATACTTGAATGTTTTTCCTGTATATAAGACGGTTTGCATATATATATTACACATTTACTTTTATTTGTAAAATAAATTATTTTATAGTATAAATACTTAATCAATTATCTATTGTAATAAAAGCTCCGCAAAGGAGATAAAGCTATAGTTTTATGCGATATATGATTGTGTTAAGTCAAATGATATATAACTTATTAAATCTTATTTATTAATCAATTGTATCTGTTAATTTATCTCATGTATCAATTGTAATAAAATTTTATGCGCCTCTTTTTAATTGGTTCATACGTCACTCACTGGCGTTTAGTGAAAATATTTATCTTTAAACAGTATCAGATCTTTTTAATGTACAAAAAAAGAAAATGATCACCCATGTAAGTTAACTAAGCGCCGACGTTAATCCTATGATTATCCAGATTATCTCGATTATTTGGAGACCTAAATTTTATTATTTGTCCGCCTAAAGTATCATTCGATTTGGTAAATTACTTCATTTACAAGTCTAAGAAAAGTAACCAACCAGTAGCGATAAGTTAATTTTTAATAATAGCAATTATAAGATGTTTAAGACGCTTTAGTGTAGTACAAAACAAAAAAGTACAAAACATGGTCGGCTAGGGCCCTTTATAACTCTTCGTCGTGTTGACTGGAATATTTTTACGTATAATTCAGTCTACACTTCGATGCAGTGGAATAACGGATGAGGTACATAGACCAAAGATTTACACGCTTTGTTTTCTTCAAGTTTAAGTTAAGTGCAAAATAATTGTACCGAATTTAACCACTCGCAAATACTTAATATTTATTGCTCTTTTATAATTTTATTCTTATTTTCACATGGTTTCCACTCACTATGACTGTTAGTGTGAAGACACGCGCAAACTGAAAAAAATTAACCTGGTGTTACTCAGACGTGCAGTTAACTATATTAACGTGCAAGTAACTATATTGGTACATCACACTAAAATGGTCATCTGCAGGGTTTGTAGTACATACATACACTCAAAGTTAGGGTGTTAGTAACTATAGGCAGATATAATTTAGATATAAAAGACATTTATACATAATTATTTTTTATTTACCTCTAGCCAGAGGTAAATAAAAAATAGATCAAAATCGGTAATGGAAATCAAAAAACGATCTTGGCAAATCATTCGTACTTGAACGCATCACCGGTGCAGTGGTGTCGATCACAATCCAATAATAATCATGCATGAAGAGTTTGCTGGGTTGTTATGAAAATAAAAAGGTATTTGCGCGTATGAATATAAAATCATTTGTTACAATGACAAAATGAAAGCTTAGCACACGAAATGCAGTTAGCAGGAATTTAATTTATTTTTATATTAAAAGCAGTTATATTTTTGGTATTAACGCTCTAAACACTTTTAAATTTTACTTAAAAGTTACTTTTAAATATCATCTCTGTAATATTTAAAATAATATAAAATTTAAAAGTAACTTAAAAGTTACTTTTAAATATCATCTCTGAGAGAACAAAACGAATATCAAATTGACACTTCAATTTGCGTGCCGTTAGTTAATAAACTCAACAATAAACAATAAAGTTATTCAGAGCAAACACCGTGATGGAAATAATTTATTTGAAAAAAAAAAGTCCACCAGAAACAGAAAAACAAAAAGAGTTTCAAACTTTCCTTAGTCGCCATTTTTAGACGATATGAAATATAAAACATAAGTTAATTTTTTCAATAAATTTCGATTGATTAAAAAGTGCTATAAAGAAAAAATATATATATATATATATTTTAATCCACTTTTGGGGCAGTGGGTTTCAAGTGTATTCGATTTTTCAAGTGTATTCTGTTTCCAGGCTTCAATCACTGCAATTTTTTTATATGGATCAGTCATTATGCTCGTACCAGATAACAGCCCAGGATACATTTAATTAACATACATATACATTTAATTAACATACATATACATTTAATTAACAGCCGACGAGTTTTTATCTCAATACGTATACTTTCCTACTTTTACAATGTCCGACGACAAAAATACACACCCACAATATTATAAGCGCAAATCTTCTCAGTGTATTAAATATCAGACCAGGGTCCCAACTGATTGCAGCCCGCCAGTCTCATTTAATTTACTATAATTCTACACTAGAGTTGTAGTCTTACTACCAATTGGGCGTATAGATTCACCAGCTCTAACTTAAACTATAAAAAAGATGACTTCACTACTATGTTCCCTAAATTACCAAAAATCGATTGGGCATCATAACTAGGCACTAATAACATAAAAGTTGCTTATGATACCTATGTATGTATTTATAAAAATAAATCTGTTGAGTTAACCCTAATCATAATACCTCATCTAACCCTTAAAAAGAAAGCGCCTTGGATATGCAAAGAGGTTAAGCAACTATTTAGACTAAAATCACGAATATGACATTTAAACATGGTAAATTAATGGATGTTTAACGACTTAAAAATGCGGTACAACTAAGGGTGGAATGCAAGAAGAGAACTTGAGTCGAACTCAACTTGAACTTTACATTGCAGCCAATAGCGACAGAGTATGGGTTTTCTCCTCAAAAAATACTCTGCCGCTATTGGTTACAAAGTAAAGTTCAAGTCGAACTTGACTCAAGTTTGTTTCTTGCATTCCACCCTAAGTTACAAATAGTCTGAAGAAAACTAGCAAAAAGCACGAAATAAATTTGAACTTAACCTTCCTTATGATAAAAAATCCTTAACGTCTGTTCGTGTAAATCAATAGCAAAAAGAAAAGTAAAGTTGGTATTAACACTTTACTAAATAGCTCTGGCCTAATAACGACTCACAAACAACAGCAGGCAAGCATTTTCAACAAACAGTTTGAGAGCGTCTTTATTTTAGCATCTAGACGGCTACTCGGCAAACCTTATAGCAAAACTAAAAAATTTGACAATGTTTTACGGCTTTATTGATCTTATAAACTTCCGATAAGGTCGACCATAAAATTCTGATTAAAAAAATGGAAAAATATGGCATAAAAAACAAAACTGCTAAATGGTTTCCAGTTATTTAAATAATAGACAACAGCATGTCTTAATCAACGATATTTCTAATTTAATGCTGTTCAAAATAAAATGTGGTGTTCCACATGTATCAACTCTTGCCCGCTTGTTATTCATTATATACATTAATGACCTTCCTAAAACCTTTACAAATATAAAATACAAAACAAACTGAACACTTTTTACTTTGAATTGGATAAAGCCACTATTTTCCTTAAAAGATGTGGTTTATATTTTTCTTATCAATTCTCAGTGTTCCATTTAAATATTCGTAGTATTATTAAAAACGAACTAAACAAACTCGACAAACTAAAAGTTCTACAAGATAATCTTAACTTTAACTTTTGCTTAATTTGTTTAACGGAAAGCTGGATTTTAGATACAACATTTAATCAAAATTCTAACTTTATTTAACCCAACTACAAAGCCATTAGTTTTGAACGTAAATTTTCAAAAACAGGCGGTGGTTTCTATGTGCTTGATGAATTTACTTATAAAATTAGATATGACGTATTGCTCTCTGAACCGGATTTTGAATCTTTCACTTTAGAAATTTACAGTAAGTATGTAAGTAATGAAAAAATATCAAGAAATTTACAGTAAGTAAGTCATGAAAAAATATTATTGTAACAACTAAATACCGACCACCAAACATATGTTTAAATAATTTTGAAAATCACTTAAGTGATTATTTTGAAATAGCATGCAGAAAAAATAAAGACCGCTCGTTTTCATTTGTTGGAGATTCTAAGGTCGACTATTTGAAATATGGTGAAAATAGAAAAGTACAACAATTTTACGATCGCTTTAATGAGTTTGGAATAATGCCTATAATAAAAAAAAACAAAAAGAATAACACAAAACTTATGTTCTGCAATCGACAATATTTTCACAAACACACTTTTCCATTCCACATTTAAATCAGGCATTATTAGAAGTGACATAGCCGACCATTTCCCAGTCTTTGCAATTTTCAAAAAACCAAAAGATAAACAAAAAAAGGACAGGTACTTCAAAATGAGAATCTTTACAACCCGAGCAAAAAATATGTTTAAACTAGAGCTATCGACTGTAAATTGGATCTTTGTTTATCTCGAGACATGTGCTAATAACGGCTACAACCTTTTTCTAGGCATGTATATCGTACAAATTTTTCAATTTGTACGATATACATTTTCCTAATAAAGCAAACCGTATTAAAACTAAAAGACTTCTTAATCCTTGGTTCACTAAAAACCTCTTAAAGTCTTCGAAACGAAAACAAAAGCTATATATACGCTTTTTTAAATCAAAGAAAGATTGCCACAAGCGTAATTACATAGAGCACAAACGTCTATATAAAAAACTAACAAAATAGACAGAACTACATACTTCAAAAACAAGCTGTTAGAACTAAAAGGTAACTGGAAAAAAACGTTGGATGCTGTTAAAGAGATTCTTGGAAAACAAAAAATATACATCAAAGTCTTACCAAGCGACATCAAGTCGTGATTAGACAGCTCACAAATGTACACTCTGGTGGCAACAAAATTTAATGAGTTTTTCGTAAATATTGGTCCAAATTTAGTCAGTAAAAATCACACTCCTGCACATTCCATGAACTATCTATCGTAGTCTGATAAAAGCTTAGCATTTAAAAAACTCATTAGTAAAGAACTTAATGACTAAATAAAAAAATTAAATATAAATAAAGCAACAGATTATGATTCTATTTCAGCAAGCATAATCAAAGACTGCAATAAACTTATTAAAGATGTTTTATTAGATATTTTAAACAAATCGCTTAAAACAGGCGTTTTTCCAGATAAACTGAAAGTTGGAGTTGTTACACCCATTTTTAAATCAGGAGATAAAAGTGGTTACAAATTATCGACCCCTATATCGGTGTTACCTGTTTTTTTAAAAACCCTTGAACGTATTATGTATAATAGGATATTTGCATTTTTGAATGATAGCAATCTTCTTTATAAACCAATATGGTTTTTGATTAAATTACTCTACGGAACATGCACTTATGCAACTTGTTGAAGTTATCAGTGGAGCATCTTCTCATAACAAATTCACTTTAGGTATATGATTAGGTTATACTTATACTTTAGAAGTATGTTTCGGTATAGACTTATAATTTAATTATATGTAAGGTATATGTTTAGGTATAGACTTGTCAAAATCATTTGACACAGGTAACCATCAAATTTTATTAGAAAAACTGAAATATTATGGAATAAGCCACA